AACGAGAGCCTAAACTAAGTAATACTTAAGCTTTGTAGGGGAGTTAAACGAAGCCAATCTTCATCGAGATTAAGCTTAAAGAGTACATTACCGACCGCATTTTAGTAAGAGAGGGAAATAGAACCTTCGGTACGTATTCTAAACTGTCACTGATCATGCAGACGAAAAACAAAAGTCACCAGCTTCTCTTCATTTCGTTTATGTTTTATTAAAAGTTAGGTTTCCATTACGAGAATCGTTCCCAGAATTAAGACATATTATATTCTTTGGAATAGTTGCAGATCGGCTCTAATTACCGTCACAATGCGATTTCACTCAGAAATTTATGTTTCTGACTCACTGCAAGCCCATAGCGTAACACTAGTTTCAGTTTGTAGGAACATTCTGAAATCTGTCACTAGAGATTTCTTAAACCTCTTATTTTCTTTTCCTTTCAAGCTCAGTTTGAGGTCTGTATGGAATATATATCTGTTTGAATCAATGACACCCAATTTTAATTTACAAAACCAAACACCAAACAATGTGTGGGGAAAAACAACCTTGCTATTTAACTAATATTTTCACAAATACGAAACTCTTGCATGATGATCTACATAAAATAATGATAAAATAATACTCAAATATGCTATTTGACAAAAAGGCTGGCTGATAGAAACACTGAACAGATACAAAAACAGCAAACATGAAATACTGGAAAGGTATGGAAGGGTCAAAGAGAAATATCTTCTAGGAATACAAATGAGGTTTTCTATATATTTGCTAATTAGTGAAGGAATAGAGCAAATGATATAAATTACTAAGTAATCTTTTAGGTACCTATTATGATATCAGGGTACTTTTACTTGCAGTATGGGAAAACTGCACAACAGGAAAAGTCTGCTTTAATGTTAATTAAAATTACTTGTACACAATGATGATGCAAGACTGCATGTCTCTGTACCAGTTTATCATGTTTGTATTTTAGAGGCACATAACCCAATAATGGGCAATGTTTCCTATACACAAGATTGTGTTTGTTAAAGGAGATTGATTGGCCTTAAATTTGCTGTTCTTTTATTTGCTTTTGCTGTTTTGTGAAGATTAAGAAATTAATTGTGAAAAGTTACATAGGTTGTAGAAAACTATCAGTTCAGCTCTTCCTGCGCAGTTGATTTTTAGAAAATTTACTCACAGCTCTTCATTGGAGGGAGGGGGGGGGGCAACTTAACCCCTTTTTTGTGCTGAGCTTGCTCACAGTGGCATTCTCAAAACCCTTAATACCCCCAGATTCTCTCCCATTTATGATACAACCATTATCCTCATTAACTGTCTGTCTCAGAATGTATTAATTTTTTTAAGGAGGAAGTACACTCTGGTAGCACTTGGGAGTGGGAAAATTTGAATAATCTTGTCATTTTATATTTTTCACTGGGGTTCAGTGCAGTTGTCTGGCTTGTTCTTGTCCTTTTGTATGGATCTCATGTATTTTATAATCAACCCATTCACAACCAAGATCTCATTGACAATTCTCCATACATTCTATCATATAACTATTATGGTGCTAGTTTGGAGGATTTAACATTGGATAAACTAATAATCCTCTAATTGATTTTTTAATCTCTATTCTTGTAACTTGTCTGCTTGGTATTGTGCATGTAAGGAGAAGTTATTTCTTGGTCACTTCTAGTTCTAGGATTCAACCTCACAAGTTCTAGGATTAACGCAAAATACTGTTTATAAGTATTGCAATCAGTAGTTCTTACAATCCAACCTGTCAAGTTTAAAACTGAATTTTGGGTACCAAGAAAATGAAAGCTTATAATTTACCCTTTTCCTTTAGTTGGCCAAGATAATTGATTGAAAGTAACATCTTCACCATTGTAAATCCAGGTATCTCTGGCAATGAGGACACAGAAACAGAAGAATTTCCTGCCCCATCATTTGAAGAACAGTTTAAAGACTTGACCTCTCTCATCTCCTTCTTTGGGGAGTGCTCAATCCAAACATGGCAGTTTATTGACAACATGAAAGAGAAGTTCCCTATTAGCTTGAAAACAGATCTTATGACTGACAAAGAAAGGCAGAGTCTACAATCATATCCTTCCAAGAAATCTACTCTTCTTGTTGTTGGACAAACAAATAGTGGAAAGAGCTCCTTTGTGAATGAACTTCTTGGTGGGTCATTCATGCCAACTTCTTGAGTACCATGCACATCTCGCACTGTCCATCTTAAATATAGTGAGAAAAACTGTATCCAGGTTTGTGATACACCTTCCTGTTTGAAACTGTTTGAAAGAGAGGCTGATAATTTGATCAAAT